GTGCAAACCCATTATGAAATTAATGGCATAGAAATCTATGGCAAAGGATATTATTATGTATTTTTATTATCCTCTATAAATGATGTTAAAGTACCTATACAAAAACGTTTCACAAAGTTCTTCCAGAGTTAATAAAATAAATGTGTAGTAACTATAAAAAATAGTTTCTAAACATCCGATCTTTCTAGAAAATTCGATATTATTGGTTACCACCTTGATATTTCTTAAAAGTGACCTATATTATCTTTCTTCGTCATCAATATTGAAGTTAACAAGCTTCAACTTAATTTCTATTTTTTAAATAGGTGATTAGATTACCACTGCATGGCTTAGCGGATTCTTTTTATAGTATAGGGTAACAAACGAGCTCACAGTCCACCTGATGGTAAGTGGTTGCTGTGGCTCATAGAAATCTACATCTATCCTCGATTACGAATCAAAATGCAGATGCGTTGTCACCCGTGAGGACTAAGATGGAATGCCACGTTTCCAGTAAAAATGAGTCTCTGTATCTCTACACTCACCGTACAAAACACAACAGTTTAAGGTGCTATTTTACACTGGTATTCTGTGAGAGCGAGGTCCTTCACCGGTCGAGCCGACCCATTCGTGCTACAACCGTAATACAGCTGCAGCTCTACCACGTATAAACCTATATTGTGTGCCTGTGTCACCAATATTGAAATAAACGAGCTTTAACTTAATTGCTTTTTATCATCGATATATATGTACTAAGCACTAGATTTCGCATTCCGAACACTCACATGTTCAACTGAACTGTACTGCAATCCGTACACTGTTATTGTGGCTTCGATATGCATGCAGTGCGGAGCGTCGCTAATAATAATTTTATATTAAATTAGCACATATGCAAAATAAACGAAAAATAAAAATATGTACTCGAATACCAATTCAATCTAAATAAACAATTATTTGTTATGACAATTTTCGCGCGTTTATATTAACTGCGCATGCGTGACTTTAATATTTCCCGCGCATGCGCGGATACAGAGTAATCCACATTTTTGTTTGGAATAGCTTCTCTATAGTCAACCAAACCTAAGAAATACATTTTTACAGCTGTCAGACATATTGCACCTAGCATGCCAACCAAAAATGAAACGTACAATATTCGATTCTTAAAAAAATCGACATCGATTATTTAGAGTTGGTAATCATTTACAGTTTGGTTTTAATAATACCAGAATAAATTAAAAACGGATAATTTGAAACCCAAGATTTATCACTTTCTTCGTATTGTGGTTACTGCTTATTACTAGAGGCACAGTTATAAAAATGTAAGATTGAAACTAGATTAAAAATAAATTTATTCATTCACTTTCAGTACAACTAGTTAAGCTGGCGTTGTTTAGAATAATTATTATTTAATTTTAAATAATGCAGTCAACATTAATGTCTTTTTCAAAGTCATCCATAATCAATATTTTCGTTTTTTTTACCACTTTTGCACAATCATCCTTTGTGACTTGGGTACATGCTTCAACGAATATAGAAGAAACAGATTAAAAAGTTAAAACTGAGTCACAAAATAAGAAGACAAACACAAAAATCACTAAATTACGCACAGTAAGATCCCGAAATGGCGGGTGGTGAAATTACGTAGTGCATACACAGTGCGGCATGTATAAAATAAACTTGTGTTATTCATGATTCATGTAATTTAAAGAATTTTAAAAATAATTAAACAATAAAATAAAATACATTAAAAAATGTATTATTCAATTATTGGAATATTTTTACCGATTATTTGACTTTTTTGCCGATTATTCGGATAACAATGAATTTTAATATTCCAAACACTACGGTGTGTTACATAGCGGTATATTATTGAAACGATGTCAAGTAAAAAAGTTGATACTGGTTATTTTTTTTTTGATATTATGCTATATTTGAAAGATTAGAATTTAAATGAATGATAAAAAACTACACACGTTGTAATCAAATGTAGATTACTTCATAATTCTTCGGATTTACGTAAAAGGTTATTTTAAATTCTGTGAGTACGCTTGTACAAAGTTATTGTGGAATGATTAATATAAAACATTAAAAGGTATTTCTTAGATTTGGTTGACTATAGTACTTAGCACATATAACTCAATGCTTTTTATTAAATACGTTATTTAATAACCACCGCATGGCTTAGCGGAATGTAGGTAAATAAATTAAAGACATACCTGAGACATTTATGCAGAACATTAATTCATTTTTCTCTATGATCCATTGTTTCCTGCTCAGCAGGACTCCTTTCCAGCCGAAGTGTTCGTCTGGATTGGAAACACCTTCATCTACTTCGGATACGTTCCGTCTTTATTGGCGCCAAGCAACAGTGCGAGCACTGCTGTGTCCCGAGAACCAGTATTTATAGGCTGAGGGACAGTCCATCTTAGTTCTCATTGGGGAGAACAATCTGTAGCCTTCTTTATTTAATGATCGCTGCAAGTTTTTTTTTGGTCTGCAGTAGCCTCTTACCATCAGGATCTATTAGTTTGCTTTTCTTTTTTTTTGTCACGTTTATCCAATATTTTAGACCATTTGGAATAAAATAAGGTCAAGTAACCTTGCTTACGTCCTTAGCTGTACTTTTTACTCTTTTTTCCTCGATGGTTGGACTTGGCGTCTGCCACATATTACTTGGTAATATCTCCTCTGCAAGTATAGAACAACTTCTGGAGGCTAATGCGTGCCTAGTTAGTTGTTACTGATGGGTACAGGTCCCAATAGTTTTAAAAAATTAAACAACTTTAAAAAACTGAAATTAAATCGATATCCGTGTCGTGCAAATGCCTTTGAAAATCGAAGAGTTCAATGCTTTTATCATGGATCCGGAGGTGCAAAAAGGAATGCAACCGTAGTGTTTACCAAGCCGAATGTTAAAGCATTTCCTAATTTAACCATAATGTAGTGTATGTGTAGCGTATGCTCATGGAGGTATAACGATAGACTAAGAGCCATTAAATTATTATTAAATCTACGGTCAAGGCCACTAGATGTCATGTTTATTCCCCGAACCTCCCAACATTACAAAGTTATGTCTACAAACCATGAGAAGGATCAATTTTAACAGAGAATTATTTAATGATTTCCTATATTTACGCGAACACTACATATTACGTACTAAACTATTATTATGAACTATTTGTTAACAGAGTTACTACCGGATATATTTCTCTACCAATTTTGTGCGATTTGACATAATCACTATCATTAACTGTCGAAGTAGTAAGTAATAATTGTGTCAGATTCTAAATTATTCTTATAAGTATTTGCTAAACCCTAACAATAGTTATCCCCCAAATAGGTTTAAATCCAATTTATTTTTAGTAGTGACCTCGTCCCCAATCTCAATGTAGGAAGACTCCAGACTTACCGATTTCATAATCTCATTCAGCTATTTTATGAGTCATTAAAACAGAGTCGAACGCTTCCATCGCTTTCAAAGAAGTACAAATAATTTTTTTCTAGAGATAAATAGCTAAGAAAATTGCGTGGCACAATGCTTCAAGTGTCTAACCGAATTATCAATGCCAGATCCTAATGTGTTGTTCAAACACAGCCGGATTAATCATTAACTACTTTAACTACATCTAGTCAGTTTTTATTATTGTTGTCAAATCACGTGAAAACTAAGGAATAATCTTATATAAAACTTATGACATATACAAAATATGATATTTGAATATAGTTACCGCAAGGTCTCGTTCACGATCGGCATCAAATAAAAATACTTCGATTTAACAGGGATCCTAACGAATGTCACAAAGCACGGTCCTGAGACCAGCATCCATCGACTTCCAAAAAGAAAAGTATGGTTTGTAAGGCCACACACTTTTTAGAAGTAGAGTTGTAGTTGTTGGTGAGCACGTCAAAAGGAAAAGATCACCAAAGTTAAAAGTTTAATTAAAAAGTATAATAATTATAAAGTTAGAGTGGCAGATCTTTCCTTGAGTAGATGGTGTTCAGAAGGACGGTTGTTGACGTACTGCCGATCGTCAGCTTGCAATTAAATAGGTAAATTTAAATACACGCGACGCCCGGCTAAAGTAGGTTGCAACGTTTACTAAATAAAAATGTGTGGTGTAACCATACAGCATCTTTCTGATAACAAGTTATTAACGATAGAAATCTGCCTGCCTGTCAAAATGTGGCAACTATGGCAAGATACCCCCCACGAAGTACTAAATGCAGTGTCTTAAATATGAGATGATAATGTCTCTTAATACACTCTGATTTAAAAACCACCGTATTTCACACATATCTGGTTGGGATTTGAACGCAGAACCTGTGCTTGGCTTTCGAGCACTCTGACCGCTTTTCAAGTTAATATCACTATGGTTGTATATTGGTAATATAACTATTTATGATCTCACATGTGTTTACATGGCTTCTCAAGCTTACTCCTATCGGTAAGCCATTTCCATTTTTACAGAGTGAGTCACTGTTCCTTTTGTTTCCTATTGGTCGAAAAACAAGTATTAAAATTAGTATTACTCACTTTTACGGGTGGGTAAGAATATAATATGTTTTAATATCTGAGTCACTGGAGCAAAAAATATCGCATACGATAATTTCAACCCCAACTAACTAACCCTTCAGCAATATACACGTCAATAACAAGCGCACGTAATTTTATATTTCAACAATGGCGAATAAATTAAATATAGCGCGCGATCATTTTGTCACTGGAGTCTACTTGAAACGCACTGCGCATGAGTGAGAGTCCCGACAAGATTTAAAATTAGCACCGTCCGGAATTTTGCTGGCCTATTTCAATTCCATCGCAAACGGCAGATTTGAGCAGATATATCCTAAATTCATACGATTATCGGCGAAAGATAAATCCATCAGCTATGTTTTGATAGAAAACACACTTCACTTCGACGGTGTTTAGTGATGTGACATGTGGATAGTCATTTCGTGAGTGCAAGTGTCTCTGAAAGAAGTGTAAATTAGTGCAGAAACAAAAGAAAAACTAACACAAAATGCGAAGATATTTACTGTTGACCACATTATTGTTGTGGAAGCAAGGTACAAAAATTTTATTCATTAAAATAGCGATGAGATATATTATATCATTTAGTATCGATTTAGTATTATTGAAATACATAACGTTAGTGCTGGCACTTTCATACGTTATTTTATTCCACAAATATTTCAGAGCCTACGTTATTCTTCTGAAAGGTTCAGGTACCTTGACTCTAAAAATTACATTAGAGACAATTGCTTTGTATCAGGCAAGGTTTAAGGTTACCTATTTTTTTTTTCATTTCTTACTTAGTAGTTTGTAGCGTTGACATCCCGGGCCTCATTCATTTCGTTTTCCCTTTAAGATATCCTCCTGCCCAGTGCTGTGCGTCCCAATTAGGCAACCGTTCATGCCTCCTTCATTTTATGAAAGATGTTTTCAACGTCATCGTCATGATCATCACCAGCCTCTTCCAGTGCAATTTTAATACAGAACCTTTTCCAAAAATACCCATTTAATGGTATGCATTTCTCGGAAAATTTAAAAGCATGGGCATTCTGAGCTGGACAGCTGAATTTGTGAACATGCATTTTCCCATCCACTGGTGGTCTGGATGGTTTTTCCGGCGTCAGTTCTTCACAGGAGTCTCGTTCGTCAATAAAAAAGTGCATCGCGTAAAGTCTACATTGAAATTTGAAGAAAACGTTCCTTCTTTCACGCCATCGTAATAACTTTTTACGTGGTAGAGCTTTACATCCAGCTATATGATGGTTGTTTCACGAATAGGTCAGCTCGATTGGGGTAGAACCACACTCTCACAGAATACCGGCGTAAAAGAGTAGCTTTATTGATTGTTTGGTATGGTGAGTGTAGAGAACCACAGACCTGGAAACGAGGCATGCCATCTTAATGCTCATAGGTCACAACGCATCCGCATTTTGGTTCTTAATTAAGGATAAATGTAGATGTCTATGGGCCACAGCACCCTCTCTCCATCATGTGGACCGTATGCTCGTTTGTCACCCTATGCTATAAAAAAAAACTTAACTTTACGTACTGTGATCGTCCAATAATGACGCAACTAAACCCTGTTTTATAGTTATCATAAAAATAATTTTATAAGGTTAGTATGATTATTGGCCGTCGCTTCAAATATATTTTTCTAAACTAGAATACCTAGAGAATTGAGCTCCATTAGGAATATTTTATTCTCCAACAGTAGAATGTGTAAAAATGTTATAAAGGACAGGTCCACATAAATGTAGCCTTCATGACTTCGATGTTACTTGTTAACTAAACAAGCCTATGTGTCTGAAAATATTATTTTGTATTGTAACTCAGTAGGCGAAGAAATGTATTACTAACATTATGTTTCAGTTCGACACTCTATTAAATAACATATTTATGTATTTCTTACTGCAAGAACTATGAAGATTCTAACGAAATTCTAAATATATATTATTATTTAGAATTTATTGTATATATCTATTTCAAATCCAAATTTGTTTATTTTAAATGCTGTTAGTATTTCGGATAATGCGTTAACATTCAGAAAACTTATCCATACCATCGTAAACCAAATAGAAATGGATCCTCAGTGATCTGTTTTTAAGTGTCAGTAGGATTGAATATTAATAATAAATCGGTTAGTTTGCTGTTTTCATTTAGTTCTTAGACCGCACCACTAGATGGAGTGACGACCTGGTAAGTTAATCAGAAAGTCGATAGATGCAGGTGGCTCAAGACCGTACTTTGTGTCATTCTTTGGGGAAGGCCTATGTTTAGCAGTCGACTTGTGAAGGGCTCTAAGGATGATTATGATGATTTAGTTCTTTGAATGTTATCCTTCTTCTTCTTCATCATCATCAGCCCGTAGGAGTCAACTACTAGATATCCCCCCCGCCCCCCGCCTTCCTCGTTGTAGGGAAGATTTGCCTGCCAAGTGAATTACCGATCACAATACCAGACGTCTCATATTCCTCGTCGCTGGAATGGATATTTTACGCCAGGCGTATGTATGTACGTCTAGCTCCCCTCGGAAGGTTAAACGTTTGTGAATCAGGAAGTTGGCGGCTTTTCACCACCGTGCCTCATAAATTACGTAATGCCGTTGTTCCTACGCCTGATCTCTCTTCGGTCGTATCAAGTTTCCGTCCCATCGGACTATGAGAGTGAGGAAATAGATAGTGTACCTGATTTGCACATACACTCGTGCACTATAATCCTGTCCTACGCAGATGGATAGTCTTCGTTGAGACTGACCACTATGACCGATATTCGGTCTGAACGACTAGACTATGTAAAAACAAAAAAACTTCTTTAGTGAGGGGGAAGGGATTATATACAATGGCAGAAAAAATGTATTGAGTAAGAGATCATATAAAGATTTAAAATGCTGTCGATTGAGAATGCTCATTCCATATTATTAGTATCTTTTAAAAGGTGTGATTGATAAATAATTATGTTTAACATGTTTAATTAATAAATATTTAAGTTGTTTTGAAAGAAAGGAAGGAATTTATTTCTCCTTATTTAAACGAGAAATGATATTACACTTCGAAATAAAAACTAAATAGAATTTTATGCTACTCATTTTTTATAAAATAAGGGTGACAAACGAGCACAAAGTCCACCTGATGGTAAGAGGATGCTGTGGCCCATAGATATCTAAATTTATCCTCGTTTAAGAATTAAAACACAGATGAAGACGAAATGCCTCGTTTTTAGTAAAAAAGGGTCTCTAGATCTCTACACTCACCATACGAAATACAGCAGTATTAAGCTGCTATTTTACGCCGGTATTCTGAGAGAGCGTGGTCCTTCTCGGTCGAGCCGACCCATTCGGGCTACAACCATAACATAGTTGCAGCGTGGCTCTACGAGGGCGACACTGAAAGTTTTTAGAACTGGCTACTTGTAAACGATATCATACTCGTAAAAAAATAAGTTCAAATTTTGAAAATGAACTTTTGCCAATATTATTGTGTATGTACTTTATTGATGTGTCACTTGTTTACGATTTGGCGGCAAGTCGAATATTGTCAGTATCATGTCAGCGTGAATTTAATGCGAGAAATTTTTCGTACAATGGCTGTGTTCGGCAGAAAAAGGCGCTAGGAAGCGCTTGTCAGCAAAATGGCAATCGTAAGCGGTAAGCGCTGTCAAATGGTAAAATTGCTATTTTCTCTAGGACACTAAGTTAACTTTAACCGGGGAACCTAACCTAATTTAAATATATGTTTGTAAAGTATTCATATTAAAAACTTACCAATCATAAATTTTTAATAACATGTATAATATGTTTATTCATGTCATTATTTAACTTGAAACTGCACAAAACAATTTATAAACTCTGCTTCAAAACAAACAAAATAAATAAGCAAAATGGCGGATTCTGTCAGCGCAACCGAAGTTAGCAAACATGTCCTGGCCGAAAACTGTATAGTTTCGCCATTTTGCTTACAAGCGCTTCGTAGTGCTTTTTCCCGCCAAACATAGCCATTGATTTTTTTTATGACCGTCGATGTCATTTAAGTCAATAAGAAAGTTATGATAGACTTTAATTGGCCTTTCACGATGAAGCCCCATCTCGTGCTACTGTTTACAACTTGTTTAATGAGTTTAAACGTGGTCGCACTAATCTCACCGATGACCTGCGTGAGGGACGGCTTTCTACGGCGACGACTGAAGATAACATCAGTGTTGTGCGGCGTATGATAGAGACTAAGAAAAGAGTGACTTATCAGCAGATTTGGACAAGCATAGGCATCGGTATGAGTTAAGTGCACAAAATCCTCCTCGAACCTCATAATTTGACAGAGGCCAAAAACTCCGTCGTGTTGATTGGTGTCGTGAAATGGTTCAAAGATTTAAAGCAGGTGAATTAAATGCTGTGTTTGACATACTTACGAGTGACGAAAGCTGGATTTATTGTTATGATCCTGAAACTAAGAGACAGTCTACTGTCTGGGTGTTTCCTTCCGAGGAGTTGCCAATGAAAGTGAAGAGAGGTCGAAGCGTGGCAAAAGAGATGGTGGCCTCGTTCTTCGAAACGACAGGTCATTACGCAACAATTGTTTCAGAAGGTCAAAATACAGTTACTGCAGAGTGGTACACTAACAATTGTTTGCCACTTATCTTGGAAAAGGTTCAGGAGAAACGACAACGTAGTAGGATCCTCCTTCACCACGATAACGCCTCGTCGCACACCGCCAAGCAAACAATCGACTACTTGGCGATGTACGTTGGCGATGTCAGACGTGGAATTACTGGGTCACCCGTCCTATAGCCCTGCCCTTGCGATTTTTATTTATTTTCGAAAATAAAAGAAAACCTTCGAGGAAAAGTGGCTGCGTTTCAAAATTCCGTCGAAGAGACCCCGGAGGACGAGTGTGCAAAGTGCTTTTCTCAGTAGTTCCATCGGATACACAATGTATTGATGTAAATGGACACTATTTTGATAAGATATAATAAAAGTAATAAAAATAACTTGCTAGTTTGTTCAGTTTTTGATTTTCTAAGAACTTTCATTGTCACCCTCGTACCAAGTATAAAAAATTTCACCAATAAGAATTACGTATTAGTGCTGTAGCGCTAATTTTCAGTAATATCATATTATTGGCTGCGTTTGGCAGAAAAAAGTGCTAGGAAGCGCTTGTAATCAAAATGGCGCTCGTAAGTGGTAAGCACTGTCAAATGGTAAATTGCTATTTTCCACTAGGACACTAAGTCAGCTTTAACCGGGGAACCTAACCTAATTTATATATGTGTTTGTAAAGCATTCATATTAAAAACTTACCAATCATGAATTTTAATAACATGTATAATATGTTTATTCATGTCATTATTTAACTTGAAACTGCACAAAACAATTTATAAACTCTGCTTCAAAACAAACAAAATAAATAAGCAAAATCGCGGATTGTGTCAGCGCTACTGAAGTTAGCAAACGTGTGCTGGCCGAAAACTGTATAGTTTCGCCATTTTGCTTACAAGCGATTCGTAGCGCTTTTTTCTGCCAAACGCAGCCAATTTATGCAGAAATTCAAGTTTGCGGTACAAC